ATTAGAGTCAGCAAAATGGCTCTCGTAATCTCCTAAAATAGTGGGAACTTTTGCTGTTTGGTTAATGCGTCACTGGAATTATGCCAATCAACAAGTGAAGTTGAAACTATGTCACAGTTCGTAGGGTATAAAAGATGTTTGCAGCAATCACTAGCTACTGTTAGGCAGTAATAAGAAACACATACGTTGACATCCAGTCCCCTGTAGATAGGGGTATGTTCTAATCTAAATACTGTCCTCAACGACGTACTGTCTACCTATATAAGCTCACTGAGGGCGTTTCACACTGACTTCTTTTCATTTGCGCACGCCTGTTGAAACGCCTGTGCATAAATTTGAATAAGCGAGCCCTATCTTGCCGCAGTAATGGGACCAGATTCAAACATAAAAACCAGATACGTTCCGTAGCCCGTCAGTTTCACTCTCATGAGGACCGTGCATACTGCCGGTTGTGTCTGTATTATACCCCTTTGTATAGAAATGCAAATTTTTCACAAATCATCCACAGGATGTGCCTACAGTATTTACATATCGCTAGTTAAACTAATCAGTTAAATAGATGACGGGAAGATTCCATCAGATGGGCTGACCCTGGAGAACATTGAGCCAGACCTAGATTAGCAAATCCTCTTCAGTCTTCATAGCTTAAACATTGCCGAGACAGGCGGAGATGCGAGTTCCAGGAACTAACTGATAAGAAGAATGAAGAGTTCGCTGGAACAAGGGCTTTATTCGCCTGACGTTTCGGACTCTCTCTTGAACCCATCATCAGAGACAGAGGCAGAAAAGGGTGACTCGTGCACAGAAAGTTGCAGTATTTATAGGATGCAGTTGCTATGTTACCGCATACCTATAGTAATTAACGGCTCTCCCCTTTATCAAGAATTGTTGCCCGCCCGTGCGCCAATTGCTTGATGACCGGCATGCAAGTTGTTAGTTGCTGAAATCTCATCACCCGTGTTGGATGCTGGCGTGATGATTGCACGGCCATCTGGCTCACCGGCGTGCGCGCTCCTAGGCCAGCCTATGCCTTAGCACGGAATATGCGGTGGGGATGTCGTTGCACTTGTTGATAGACTGAGGTCCCGTGAGCCATGACTCAAGCAACTCTCGGCTCACGCGATTATCCCCTCTCGCGAGAATTTGGGCCTCATCGAACTTGAATGTGTGGCCGGGTCTCGTCGAATGGGCCGCCACTTGAGAGTTGGCGCTGTCGCTTGTTCGGTAATTCGCGTCCGGAGCGGTCTTCCAGTTTCTCCAACGTAGTCACTTTGCCCGTAACTGTACCGGATCCGGTAAACGACTCCAAACATTGAATTCCCGGGGAGCATGATGTCACCCGCTTTTATTGAAAACTACCCATAGGATGGACGAAAAGAAGATTATACTACATGGCGTCTGCTTCAGTAAAAAAAGTCGCATGTTATTCACCAGTATGTCCCCTCCGCGTATTGATTTGTATCACTCAGAAGTCTCAAAGATCAAGCGTCGCCCATACCGCGTACCTTTAGTTATTTATACATTTTTGCACGTCTTCAGCTATTGCTTTTTCATTTTAGGTTTTTCTTTCGATACATAATCAAATTTAATTAACAGTCATAAAGTAAAAGGAGCCAAATGAAGCTTTTACCCTGCACAACTGGTCCATTTTAGTAATGTGCGAAGATATACCGAGTACCGAAAGCAATTATTATTAAATGGAGTTCTCTCGTACAAGCAGCAAAGAAGACGCCACTTTTATCTATTGTGATTCGACCACTTTTTATTTTAACTAATCTACATAATCGAACCAGTGAAGCGGTAGGAGCCCTAACTGACTGTTTTCATGTCTGAAGATTTGCCGTCATCTTAAGTAACTTGACGTAAAGAATTCTTATTAACCAACCTTCTTTCAAAATAAGGGGAACCAAAGTACAATTTTTAGTAGTATACAAATGTGTATCTAGAAAGCCAAGCAAGCATGCTTTGAGCATCTTTTTGCACAGCCTTTTCGAAGTACCCTTTTGAGAACGTCCGTGCGCACCATACTAGTTAGTGGATGCATCAGTTTCAAGGTTTATCCAAAGGTCGCAGATTGCATAAGCGGCTTATCAGCAACTGTATGTGCTTAAATGAATTTAGTTCGCGTAAAATTAATTCCGAGTACTTTGTGATTGTTAATATATGGACAACTGCTGCCGGGACGGGTCTCCGCATCGCCTTCGCTGAGACGCGCCCACCCTCGCCGACGGAGACCGCGGACTCACGGCATATGCGGTCGTTCTCCACTACAAACATAGAAGTCTTGGCCTCATAGTGGGATTCGGTCGCGCCAACCAGGCACATGGGCAGCCCGATTCAAGGATGGCACTGCCAGCCCCCACGAGGGGAAGGGCCTAGAAAAGGTGGCCTAAACATTGCTGGGCACCACGCCGTCTTCAGGCTAGCCAGGGCCGCAGACGTCTAATCATGGTCTAGACACTCAAAATCGAAACAAAAACAATACCAATAACAACAACAACCATACACATTCTCCTCATCCTACCTCTTCTACCTCTTCCTCTGCCTATTCTCTGCTTATTCTTCTCCTTCGTCATCTTCTCCACCTCCTTCCCGTCACCCCACTCGTTGTCCCCAGACTGGCAGGGTGAGCCCGCTCACTCTGGCAGCCTGGAATGTTCGTTCCCTTTTGGACAATCCGAGGAGCAACCGACCGGAGCGGAGGACGGCTCTAGTTGCACGAGAACTCGCCCGCTACAAGGTGGACATCGCCGCACTCAGCGAGACCCGATGCTCCGAACAAGGCCAACTGGAGGAGGTGGGTGCCGGTTACACCTTCTTCTGGAGTGGTCGGCCCAGGCCAGAGCGACGAGACGCGGGCGTTGCCTTCGCCATCCGGAACGACATCGTGGGACGACTGCCCAGTCTGCCGCAGGGCATCAACGATCGCCTGATGAGCCTCCGTCTGCCTCTCCGGGGTGGGGGCAAATTCGTCACCATCATCAGCGCCTACGCTCCGACGATGACCAACCCCGACGCCGTCAGAGACAAATTCTACGAGGACCTGCACGCCCTCTTGGCGACTGTGTCGAAGGCGGACAAGTTGATTGTCCTTGGTGACTTCAACGCCCGCGTCGGCACAGACCATACTGCCTGGAGAGAAGTGCTGGGTCCCCACGGTCTCCGCGGCTCAAACGACAATGGTCTGCTGCTTCTCCGCACCTGCGCAGAACACCGCCTCATCCTGATGAATACCTTCTTCTGTCTGCCGGAGCGAGAGAAGGCCACCTGGAGGCATCCTCGGTCGCGCCAATGGCACCTGCTGGACTATGTCCTCGTCCGGAGGCGAGATCTGCGGGACGTGCTGGTGACGAGGGCGATCGCGGGTGCTGGCGGGTGGACCGACCATCGCCTCGTCATCTCGAAGATGTGTATTCGCCTACAGCCTCGCAGGAGACCACAAGGTAAGCGACCCCCAGGTAAGCTGAATGTTGCCTTGTTGTCTTTGCCCGCTCACCATCTTCATTTCAGCAATGAGCTAGCTCAATGGCTAGACAACCTTCCTATCGCTGCCGACGCCGCCGCTGGCGAGAAAGCCTCCGTGGAGAACCGCTGGTGTCAACTGCGAGACACGGTCCAGTCGACGGCGCTCGCCGTCCTCGGTCGCGCTCCCCGCCAACACCAGGACTGGTTCGACGACAACGACGCCGCCACCAGAAATCTGCTTCCTGAGAAGAACTGCCTACACAAAGCCTACGTAGATCACCCCACTGATGCCACCAAAGCTGCCATCTACCGCAGTCGCCGCCAGCTTCAACAACGACTGCGCGAGATGCAGGTCGCCTGGACTGCTCGCAAAGTTGAGGAGATCAAAGGCTACGCGGACCGCGACGAATGGAAGAACTTCTTCTCCGCGATCAAAGCTGTCTACGGTCCGCCGACGAAGGGCACTGTTTCTCTCCTCAGCGCCGACGGCAACACTATCCTGACTGAGAAGACGCAAATCCTACAGCGATGGGCCGAGCATTTCCGAGGCGTCCTCAACCGCCCCTCCGTCATCTCCGACGCCGCCATCGACCGCCTGCCGCAAGTGGAGACCAACGTGGACCTCGACCTCCCGCCATCTCTCCAGGAAACCATCAGGGCCGTGCAGCAGCTCTTCAGCTGGAAAGCACCCGGATCGGACGCAATCCCTGCTGAGGTCTACAAGCACGTAGGTCCCTAACTGATGGATCACCTGACTGCGCTCTTCCAGGAGATGTGGCGTCAACGTGAAGTCCCGCAGGATTTCAAAGACGCTACCATCGTGCATATCTACAAGCGCAAAGGGAATCGCCAAGTCTGCGACAATCACCGCGGCATCTCCCTACTGAATATCACCTGGAAGATCTTCGCCCGCATCCTTCTCAACCGACTCAATAACCATCTGAAACAGGGCCTTCTGCCGGAAAGCCAATGCGGCTTCCGTCGTCATCGTGGGACCACGGATCTGATCTTCGCCGCCCGTCAACTTCAGGAGAAGTGTCAGTAGATGCGGACCCACCTGTACTCTACCTTCGTGGACCTGACGAAAGCCTTCGACACGGTGAATCGTGAAGGACAGTGAAAGATCATGCAGAAATTCGGCTGTCCGGAGCGACTCACTCAGATGGTGCGTCAGCTGCGCGACGGTATGATGGCGCGAGTCACGGACAACGGAGCTGTCTCAGAGGCATTCGCAGTGACCAATGGAGTGAAGCAGGCTGCGTACTGGCGCCTACGCTCTTCAGTCTTATGTTCTCTGCCATGCTGAAGGACGCCTACCGCGACGAACGCTCCGGGATCCGCATCGCCTACAGGACGGACGGTCACCTCCTGAATCAACGGCGGATGCACTTCCAATCGCGCGTATCCACAACCACTGTTCACGAACTCCTCTTCGCCGACGACTGCGCCCTGAACACCACCTCGGAAGAGG